AAAAAAAATAAAAAATTCATGGGCAACAAAAAACACTCACACAGTTTCATTACTGTAATACAAAACATTCACATTGGATCAAATTCAACTATGTCAGCAGCAGATAACCTTGTAAGACAGGCAATCGATAGAAAATATTAAGGACCTTAACACCTGGCTGAGGCCGAGTTCTTCGCATCACATAAATACCAGCAGGAGTGGCACCGGGCCGCATGGCCCACGCCTCTATACCAGGAATGCGTGGCTCATCCCACGACACCTTTGGCAGGCAAGGCAGCGCAGCCTCACACGGTCAATGTAGATCGCGCACCATCCTGTGCCACACCATGGCTGTAAAATCTCCCTCTCTTACACCTAAAATATCAATAATATTAGCTGGGATGGTGTGGCCACGTCAACCGCTGTTCCTAGCTATCTGCGAGACTAGGGAAGAGAATCACTTGAACCCCGAAGAGCAAAGGCTGCAGCGAGTCAAGATCTCCACCTGCTACTCCGGCCTGGACAACAGAGCGAGACTCCATCTCAATTAAGAAAAAAACAACACCCCGCCCGCCTGGGCTGTGGCCTCAAATCAATTTTTAAAAAGAACAAAGAGTGAGGAATAAGTTTACCCTATTTTAAAATGTACTAGCTAGCAACAGTAATCAAAATAGAGTGGTACTGGCATAGGTTTAGGCTCAAAGACTAGTGGCATAACATAGAGAACCCAGAAATAGACCAATATGAATATACTTAAATAACTTTTTGCTACCGTGTAAAAGCAATTCAATAGACGCAGAATAGTCTTTTCAACAAATGGAGCTTTAAAAAATTCATGGGCGGCCGGGCGCGGTGGCTCAAGCCTGTAATCCCAGCACTTTGGGAGGCCGAGACGGGATTTTGAATTTGTCCATGTTATGTTTGTATTGAACAAGTATGAATGTAAGTTTGGTGTCTTTTCTGGTTGCTTTTGCCCACCTGATTTTTTTTATTTTTTTTTTTTTTATTATTTATTATTTATTTTATTTATTATTTTTTTTTTTAGACGCGAGTCTCAGCTCTGCCGGCAGGCTGGAGTGCAGTGGCCCGATCTCAAGCTCAATGAAAGCTCCGCTCCCGGTTTCACCGCCATTCTCGCCTCAGCTCCGAGTAATCTGGGGACTACAGGCGCCCGCCACCACCGCAACCCCCTCGGCCTGCTAGGTTTTCTTGTATTTTTTTTAAGTAGAGAACGGACGTTTCCACTGGTGTTAGCAGGATGGTCCCTCGATCCTTCCTCCTGAACCCTGTGATCCCG